TCTGCTCACACATAATGACTTGCTAGCAAAGGAGTCGAAGATGTAAAGAATAAGAAATTGGCCAAATGTGACTTCATTTTCAGGAAGGTGGAAATTTCCTCATAGAATTAAAGCACAGCCTTGAATCAGTTGTGTTCTGAGTGCCTCCTTAGGAGGACTGAGCAAACATCAGAAGAGGATGGGAGGATGGAAGAGCCCAGGCCCCGGAGGAGGTGGAAGGAGTGTCGCCCTGCTGACCCTTGAGGCCGGGATAGCAGCTCTGGAGTACTGAGCACCGGGGTGGAATGAAAGCAGCAGTGGAGGAGACGGGGAAAAGACAAACACACGGGTGGAGGCTGAGGGCTTGGCAGAGTGTTTCCGGAGGACGGCGGGTCAGGGGGCCACAGGGCCATCATGCAGGGCCCGAGCTGGGCACTGACCACTGAGGACCGAGCACTGAGCACCAGGCACTCGGCACCGGGCACTGAGCACCTCAGGGATGTGGGCAGGATGCGGGGCTGGGATGTGAGGCTGGGCTGTGACTTGGCAGGCTCCTCACTTGGTCCCCAGCTGCTCCACCCGGCTCAGGACCTGTCCACGGGCGCAGGAGCCATTCTGCCCGGCCTGGCCACACGAAGCCCTGTCCACTGACCAGGCCCGGAGAACTGTGCCGCAAGCCGTGGGTGACGCCTGGTGCCTCCCCGGGTCCTCACTATGCCCTTCCAGCACCTGAGGTCCAGTCCGCAGGTTCTCACCATGGCCTGGAAGAATTCCATTCCAGGCTCGGCTCACAGGAGTCCTTAGGGAAAAGCAGGGAAAACTGAGGTCTGCTTGCTCATAATTTAGAGAACTACGTCTCAAAATCAGTGCACTAAGGAGAGTCACAAAGAACCACATGTGACACCGACATATGCATCCTTCCTGGTCCCTGGCTGAGTGTGCCCCAGTCATGAGACAATCACACTGCACTCAGCCTAGGCCACGTGGGCCACGGAGCACGAGTTTCCCTGGCTCCTCTCCCCGTTTGTCTCACACTATAAATAAAGAGCGCTAGAGTCTAGGTGGACATTAGCTCCCGACAGCCCAAGGCTCCACCTGGCCCCAGTTTTCAAACGTACTCTTGGTCCGTGTCCTTCTTTTTCATTAAGTTTATCGGCACACCTTAGGGATCCAACACACTTGCGGTGTTTCTCATTTCTCTTTAGCCCCCTCCACTCTACTGGCTTCGGACCCTACCTCACCTCTAACGAAGCCATCACACTTCTCTAACAGCGTGACCAGAAGAGATTCTGCTTTTACGAAATGCAAGTTGGCTCACAAAAAGGTTTTGGTCCTTAATAATTACTTTTGAAACTTATTATAGGATTCTAAACTATGAAGTGGGAAACTGCCCCCTGGGCTTGCATTAGCTCTCATATACCTATGTAACATCCTGAGACTTACCGAATATACGGATTCTGCGTGTACATCATATATGATACATACATATACAAAGGATATATGGGATGCAGACGTATGCACAGTCCGTACATACATACAGCAAGCTGAATTTAAATTATGTGTATTGTCATACCATATGTTTAATAGATGAATAGTATTGTTTTATACAGCTATACTACATTTATAACATAGTTTGTAGGGTTTGGGTTTTAAAATAGAACATTTTAATAAAATATTCTTGCTTGTAAAATAATGAGAAGGGGACTGAGGGGCGGGGGAGAAAGGAAGGACGAGGAAGAGGATATAAAGCAGTAAGACGCGTTGCGCACAGGTACCAGCCCCCCGATGAATGCATCAGCATGCACATCACAGGCGTACTAATACAAATAAAACATTAAAAGAAATTTAAAGAAACAAAGCTCACCTCTCTCCTATCACTTTCTCAGACTTCTAACAAAATTATCTGCAAGACTTCTCCTTATTTTCAAAATTTATATCCTTTTTCCTATGATTTTCTTAGGGCAAAGTGTCAGTTAACATTCTTTATGCTGCAGTATACACACACACACGTGTGTGTGCATTGTCTATCTGAGTATGCACTGCATGACACACACACTGACGCAAGTTAGCTGTTGGGTGCACCTCTCACTTTGCTGCCTGGAGCCAATTCCCATACTTTCCGGGCATCTTGGGGGACAGAAGAGAGAGGAACTCTCTGGGGGCCAGGGAGGGACAGGGGAAGCGAATCTCATGCCCCAAGCCGCTGTGCCTGGGGTGGCAGCCCAGCTAGTGGAGGGTGGAGAGGACGTTGTGTCCTCCCGTTATTTGTCCCTGGGTCATTGTGTCCCTGCTGTGTGCCTGGGTGGAGGGGCAGCAGTGGGAGCTGAGGGGTTTCTGTCTCAGGGACAAGAGACCAGGAACATCTAGAGCAACAGGGTGACCCAAAGATTTCAGTGCCCCCACCACAGTGGGGCCCCTCACAGACCCCAGATGGTCATTGTCCTGGTGAGACAGATGGGGAGGTTGGTGGGGCTGATGTGGGGAATCTTCCACATGGCGCAGAGTAAATGCAATGCCATCCCCTTGGGGTCGGCCTCACAAGCCCTCTGGTTGACTTGAAACTACAATAATGTAGCGCGTCTCACATAGCAGCTTGTCCAGAGTGTGCGGAATAGGAGGCAGACTGTGACACCGGGCACGGCACTATACTCACTGGAAACTTCTCTGAGGACTCAGTGAAATGAGGCAAGTGTGGTAGAGAAGATAACTGCATAGCAGAAGGTGAGGAGCGGGCTGGTGATCATGCACCTGATACCCTGCTAGTGGGCTCATGTGCTTTGCTGCGAGCACTATTGTTTACAGAGTGAAAATTATTTGCACACACGTTTCCAAATTAAAAACAAAACATGTGCATGGCAAATGCTAGCAGGAATGTGTTGAGTTCTTACTCTGCGTGTTAGGGGTTTTGAGCTTAAGCTGTCTGGATTGGACAATGGCCTTGTCAAGTACACAGAGCCGAGCTTCTTCCCCGGTGGTCTGGCAGCAGAGCCTGTGTTCTTAACATTATGATTAGTCAAAAGTATGTAGTACCTCCGGCTAGAAAATGAAATTGTTTGTAAATATCAGCTGTACACATTTTCTGACAGCATAATTCAGGAACAACTCTTTTCATGTGATCATTTATATATTAGGAGATCACCATAGTGTGTTAATTTATATCTTCTCTGGGAAATGTTAGGTTAATACAGTGCTCTGGAAATACCAATTCTAGAATTTATTTTTTGGAAAAAATTCTCTCAATGTTTTAAGCTTCAAAGTTATACTCGCTGTCTTCTTTGAGTGATCACGTTGTTTGGTCCAAAGAGAATGCACAGCACTGACCTGACTGTATCCCAGGCACCAGGGGCCATTTATGTCTCCAGGCATCTCAAGTTATAGCAATTTAGACATTGCTACAGTGAACAGATGGGTTAACAGTTAAATGTGCTAATAATTAATATAGCCTGGTCATCAGGCTAAAATATGACACATGAACCAGTATTTCCATTGCAGCTAAGAGTACTGATAATCCTTAATCATGAAAGACCCACAGTACAGAAACGATGCCAGTTTCCCCCCTCTGAACTGCATGCTTTAGGGTGTGTATGTCTTCATACCAGCTGTAATTTGTCCTGTTGGGAAGTGTTTGGTCTTCCACTGATATTTTTAGATTCTTCCAAAGATGGCAGCAAGCGTAGGCCATGTGTAAATAGCCCACGCATTCTTGAGTAACTGCAGTCATGCAGAAGGTCAACTGAAGGTCACATCTAGGCCCAAAGGTCAGGAAGAACTCAGCAGTAATGTATGCATTCTGTCCTAACCTTTTAGTGGGATGTGAATAGGACTATTTTGCTGTAACATTTTCATAAAAAAAACAATCATTAAGTTCCCAATCTACCCTGTTCCTCTAGCAAGGGGGAACCTACTTTACCCGTTAGAGATATCCAAGCTTGCTCGCCATAGGGTGCTTCCCATCCTGCTACTCCCGCTCCCAGGGAAAGAATGTGAATGCACCATAACCCATCCACCCTCAGGACTCCTGATGACAGCCCCTCAGGGTTACAGTTTTGGAGCTGGTGGAGTCCTTTTATTTTCTGTCTCATTGACCTCACATGCAGTAACTTCGTATTACTTTTTTTTTTTCATCTGAAAATACTTTTACAGCATGCATTTGGGAAATCCAAGCCTTCAATCTATGCAAATTCACAAAGGAAAACTGAATAAAATGAAATTCCAAATCTGCAAACTAACAGCACTTATTTCCCCTTCTGCACACAAACTTCCATCACATCAAACGTCTTATGAAACTCAGTAAAGAATGACAAATTCTCCACCAATAAAAGAATTTAAGCAAAAAAAAAAAAAAAAATGACGAATCTAGTAAGACACTTTGAAAACTGCTTCAAATAGAATCCACAGAATGTGCGCATGAACATGACCAGAACTGCTACAATGAATATTCTTACAGAATCAAAAGTACTCCGTAGCCACAGGGCAATGCTCAATTGGCTCTCCTCCGCAGGGAAGCATTTTCCATTTGCATCTGGTCGTCAGGAACTATTTGCATCGCTCTCAGTTTTCTACAACTTTCCGAGTTCTCATATAGTTCAAAAATAATGTAAAGTACAGATCATTCATTTCCGGAACATGGATTGTCTCACTAAAATTTGCAAATATAAGTCATTTCATGTGTATTATATTGTGTTTTTTTACTTTTCTTTTCATATTGAATTAGCTCATAAAATGTTTTCAAAGTACCAACCATGTGCTATTGTGCCCGGTTTGATAGGTTATGTTTCCTACTTAGCCTCCTTTTCCATTTTACTGTAACAGTGACACATACAGCAAGTCACTTTCCAAGTCAGAACTCGCAGCCTTTGGAAAGGATTGTAAACATTGAGGACTGTCAGGAAGGTATAAATAGTTTGCCTCTATTTATCAACATCAGTCCAAAGCATTGCTTTTCTTTTCTCTAACATATATCAGCACCCTGCCCTGGCCTGGAGTCTTGGTCCCCAATTCTCAATGGGTTTTGCTCCTACCTTGGTAAACAGCCTTAAACCCAGGGGAGCCGATGCTGTCGTCAGATTGCAGGTGCAGCCACATCTGGTTGCTCATGCTCACAATGAGATCAGGTACACTGGATCCCGTGAGTCTGCAAGGAGAAGAGAGGGTCAGACCTATCGAAGGCGACAACAAACATATCGACTTCTACCTGGAAGCAGGGTCTGGCTGCTTACACAAAGACCCCCTCCAAGACTGTGTAATTTATATTAGTACTGCGCTTAAACATCAAGATCGCTGACATTTTACAGTCCTCATCGTATTGCTGCAAATATCTGTTTTATTTTAAGAAGCATCTGTGTGCTGACCATACCATTTGCCTGAACTGAGGGGCTTTTCCTTGTGCTGGGCTGAGCCTGGTAAAGCTGGGACGGTCCTGGAAAACAGTGACGGTTGGCCATTGGACACGACTGGGAAATGTATGCCAGTCGATCAGTGGGAAGGGTTTGTTCACAAAATGCTCGGGTGGTCTAGTCTAGAATTATCATGTACCTTCATCAAAAATCTTTTGAAAAACGCATTCTAGGTCATGACACAGTAAGAGAATATTGAAAAGAAGAACAGCGTGCCTGGCCGCAACAGATCCAGCCGCATTTATTAAACTTCTTCCTGCATATTAATGTCCAGGTCCAGCCAAATGGAAGATGCAACAAAGCATGGAATGCACATTAGCAAAACAGTCACACAGCAGCTGCCCGCAGCCAGTGAAAAGAAACACTAAGTCCACTGACGGAACTCAAGGTGCTGAGGGAAAAGCATGTCGAAATAGAAAAAGTGCAAGAAAGAAATCAATTCAACCAAAATAAATGTCCCTCATCAAATAGCAAGCGGCGCTTTCAGCAGAGTCATTTCGGGAGTACGAGCACACGGATTGCCGATCCATCACACGGTCCGTCCACCAAGGCCAAGTCCTCACCGTGGGCGCACAGAGTCCTGGAGGCCTCCAAGGAAGACAGCGGCAGGCATTTACCTGAGAACAACAGCAGCCACGACGGTGTGGACGGAGAGGCCGTGCCCAGCCAGGGCCGAGGGCCGGCGACTGTTTCCTGCTCACAGTGGGGGCTCCTCGACAGGTTGCTCTTTACACCTTTTTGCTTGTTTAGTAGTAAAGAGATTTATTTTCTGCCGTGTATACGTTTTATTCCAGTGTAACAGACCTAACGCTCACAGATTTCCCGTCTCTACCACTGTTACAGAGCCGCCACGCTGAGCCACGCTGAGCACCACCGCACTGGCTCCGCCGGCCTGGTGAAGCTCTCTGCGAAGGAAACCGCACTGTGCTTCGTCACACACTGCCCACCATGATACGGCGAACTCACGCACACTACTTTCTGTACAGTCCCACCGCCGGGCCCACAGTGTGCTCAGGCCGAGCGGCTCCATCACCGCCAGGTGGCCCTCAGCCCCTCTCCGCTCCCCTTCAGCCCTGCCACCCCACTGTGTCTCTAGTTCTACATTTCATTCAAAGTCCGGCGTAAGTGGAGTGGCAGAGCATTTCGTCTTCTTCTGCCTCCATTCACCTGGCTGAATCGCAGGGACCAGTCCTGGTGTCTGCACCATGGAGCTCCTCTGTGTCTCCGAGGAGGCATCACAGCGTGGGAAGCCCAGGGCTGGTGTGACTGCTCCCCTGCCCCAGGGTGCTTGGGCTGACCCCACTCCTCTAGATGACACACACAGCTGCTTAGAACACTTTGGTGCAGGTTTTCCTAGAACATTATCTTCATTCCTCTGAAGCAAATATTCAGAGATGCAATTGCTGGGTTATCTGCTCACATTTACTTTTAAAGACGCCGCCAGCTGATTTCCCAGACTGGCTGGGGCAGGTTACACGGCCATCAGCAGTGTCGGAGCGGTAGTTTCTCTACCTGTCCTCAGTGAGCACCCAGTGCTGTCATTCCTTTACTGCCCTAACACCCACAGCGCTGCCTCACTGTGGTTTTAATTTGCATTTAGGCAGTTGCTGATTTTGTTGCACATCCTGTCATGAATTTATCGGCCATCTGTGCACCATCTTAAATGGAAAGTCTGCTCGTGTCTTGGCTACTTTCTACATGAGTTATGTGGCCTCCGTTCGTTCCTCCTTCTTTCAGCCTCCCTCACTCGCTCCCTTCCTCAATCTCTGCGTCCCTCCCTTTCTCTCTCCTTTCATTCTTCCCACATCAAGAGCTGTTTACATAACGGACGGTAGACGGTAAGCCTTTGTCTGATATGTCAGTTGCAAACATTTTCTCAGGATCTGTAGCATGGGACTTGATCAACTTACTAGATTCTTTGATAGAGTAAAAATTTTTAATTTTAATAAAGCTCAATTTATTAATTTTACCTTTCATGAATTTTGCTGTCAAGATTAAGGATGATTTGTCTAGATCTCCAAATTTCTCTTCTATGTCATTATCTCTTACTTTGTATTTGTTTTTTTTGTTTGTTTTTGAGACAGGGTCTCCCTGTGTAGCCCAGGCTGGCCTTGAACTTGTGGCAAGCCTCCTGCCTCAGCCTCCTGAGTTCTGGGATTACAACTGTGCACCACCACATCTGCCTTGTTTATTAGTTGTCATCTAAGAGAATCTTTAACTATACTGTTTTAATTATCTTTCAATTAAATAGCTTCTAATTTTAAGCAGAATTTCTCAATTTCAAAACATTTAGGTATTTTCTAGTTTTATTTATTTATTTTTCCTTAAATTCTTTTATTGGTACATTTTAGGTACACAGTACGTTTACATTTATCATTGGGTGCTTGTACCTGTACATGATGGATCTTGGTTCTTATTTTTTTCCCAATTCCCTGTCCTCCCTTCACCCCCTCAACCCTTCCCTATTTATAAAGAATTTGTTTCCATTTTTTTCTTTTTTCATAATTTTTCCTTTCCCTTCTTTCCTTTCCCCTTCCACTCCCATCACCCCTACCCCGATGGACCTTTTCCTATTTGAAATTATCAATTATTCATTTTAATCATTTTAATCATTATTTATACTTTCAATTTCTCACATTACAGAAACTATTCAGTATTCACATGTGTGTACTATTTATTTCACTTAAGAGTGTGGCCTCAATATGCATCCATTTAGCTATAAATGACTCTAGTTTCTCGTTCTTTATGGCTGAGTAGTACTCCATTTTATTAAAAAACCCCACATCTTTTTTATCCAGTTTCCAGTTGTTGGGCACTTGGGCTGTTTCCAAGCTTTAGCTATTACAAACTGTGCTGCTATAAACATGGGTGGACATATATCGCTGTGGTATGATTCTTTTAAATCACTGGGGAAGATACCCAACAGGAGAATAGCTGGGTCAAATGGGACTTCCAGCCCTAGTTCTTTGAGGTATCTCCACACTGATTTCCACAGTGGTTGCACCAGTCTGCACTCCCACCAACAATGGAGAAG